ATAACTTCTGGACAAGCATAAAAGATAAACTTAGTCACACTTGCTAACTTCTGCAATGAATAATGCATTGTCAAAGCAGAAATGATTGTGAATTAAAATAATGCTGATGTGCAGTAATCAGCACTTACTTTAATAGATTAAAATGGTTGCTAAAGTGACAGAAATATTTGTCTGAAATTTTGTTTTGTTTTATATTTCACTTCTTTGAGTCAAAATGACAGGAGGTAGAAATATTAATTTAAATAACTCTGTTATCACTAAGTTGAATGGGAATGTCAGATTCTTATTTTTAAGTAGCATATTTCCTCACATAGTTTTAAAAGAATTATTGAAATAAACAATGGAAAAGAATCATGTAGCATACTGAGACATGGAAATAAGACATATTTGGACAGCACTGGCAAAGTTTCAGTGCCCCAAAACATTTCTTCCATTTACATAGGCTAGTATGGATTTCGTCTTTCTGCTGTTCTCATTTAAAATACATAGAGAAGTGATTTATAAAATTAATACACACTAAAAGAGTGAATACATGGCCTTTTTTTCCCTCTTGAAATCAGGCCTCCTGAGACACTGCATACCTGAGACTCTGAGAATAGAAGACAGAAATTTCTCAGTAAGATGTTGGGCCATAGTTAAAAGTATTTTTCTTTCTGTAAAAGACAAGGGAGAGATCCGTCATGGGCCATACTTATCCTCTCCACTGAAGTGCTCTCCCCTGATCTCATTTTAGATGTCATATACATAAATTACCCTATAAGGAATGGAGTGGACTTCCAAGCCACCAGGCATTAACTTGGAAATGGCCCAGCTCAACCTGACCCCATCCAACTCTTCTTTCCTGAGCTAGAGGACTGTTAAAAATTTAGATTTGTTGGCTTCTTTCCTTAAACCCCATAGAAGGTGAATGTTAGATACAGACTAATCAAAACCCTTTCCCTTTAAAATAATGCTGAATTAATTCTAAACTCTTATTAGAGAAGTAACCATGTCTGTTTCAATACTTTACATGGTTCCTAACACACAGGTATAGAAGGAACTGAAAAAATACTTTTGGATAAATAGTTGGAAGGAAGGTAGAGAAAAAAAGTATGTAGTTTTGTTTTGTTTTGCTAACCTAGATAGGTAATTACTCAGAAAACCCCTTGTCTCTCTTCTCATTTTTTGACATTTGTGTGCAGCAGAAATGTTGGAAAGAAAAATCTAAAAGCATATTTTAAAGCATATTAAACACATTAGTCCATAAAACTACACTACCCAGTTGTCTAGAAGAATCAAACTAAGGTTGCAGGCGTGAGAGTATGGCAAATATATTAATTTGGGAATACCTCCAATCCGATTTTGGCCAGATATTTTGATACTTAATTGGAACAACTTAGTGAAAATAGTATAGTATTTGCCCAATTGCCATATACTGCCCAAGGTTGAACTGAATGTGGGGGCAGATTCCAGAGGGTCAAAGACAGTCAAATGAAGGGCGAGCCAGAATGAGAAACCATTTGTGGAAGCACACGTAGGTCATGGCCCTCCAACACATGTATAGTAATAGAATTCTGGAATGTGTGTGCCAAGTGACCCTCTTTCTCTTGGTTTCCAAAAGGAGTGAAGGGAATATATGACTGAGTAAAATCCCAGTAAGGAGGCAGATGTTGTTAGCTTCCTTTTACAGCAGTAATACATATTTCTATTTAAATATGAATGAAAAACGGAAACTGCCAAACAAAATTTCCTAACAGCATGATAGTCAAGGTTAAATTGTTTAAACTTTGTGTGTGTCTGGCTGGGGTGGCACACTATATCATTTGTTTACAACTAGGTGGGCCTTGCCATGATACTTTGTCAAGAACCATAAACCTAATTTCTAGTAATATTCCTTTTTGTATTGGATCCAGGCAAAAGTCTTCGGTGGTATATCAAAACTACAAGAATAAGAAGGTAGAAAATATACAATCCAATAAATGAGGAATACTGAGTGTATTAAAATAATGTTGCTTAGCTCCCCCCCCCCACCCCCCACAGCTATAATAGTGTTCTGGTCACAGTGAACACAACTAAATATTTCATTGACCGCTAACACAATTAAAGAAGTCATAGATTAAATAGTAGATGATCATCCTCTGTTTCAGATATCTTTAAATAACAGACCACTTAATGGGTCAATTTAAAATATTTTAACACATCTAAAGAAATATATTGACATTAGTTACTTTCTCATAAAAAGTTTGTACTCAAAGTTTTCACTGCTTCCCATTTTGTCTCACAGCCCTTTCTAATTTCCGCTGGTATAAATCAAATTAGATTTATTAGCATTGTACAAAAGAGCTCCAGTAGGTTTTTAATAATAATTATCATTATCACTGATTAAAGTTATATTGTTCAGGCCAGATGGAGTCCTTTTCCTGTCAGTGAGAATGAGCTTGCATTATGTAGTCATGATGTGTTTGGATCTAAATAAACAGATGGCAGAGTGACAGGATATTATACACTGGTGATGTCAGCAATAGTGGTTCACAAACAGAATTGCTTTAGATAAACTCTATTGTAGCAAGGATCCTCATAGTTTTAAGAAGGTGAATGGAATTGAGCCTAAGTGTTATCTTAACTTGGAAATCGTACTGTTCACTTGCAGAAGGGTAGACCATTTGGATGGCCTGAGGTTCAGCCTGAAAAAGTGCATCTGCTGAATCTGCTCTTTAACTGTGAAAGCATTTAACATAACAGCTTCACTCAGGCAGTCTCATAGGGAGAGAGAAAGAGGGAGGAAAAAAGAAAAAAAAAAGCTGCCCAAGTTATAAGGTCTTTCAAGTTGAAGAGTTAAGACCTGTGGGTCAAGAAAAAGAGGAAGGATCTGATATAATCTTATTTCATAACTTTCAAGATATAGTAAAACCTTGGTTGTAAGTATAATTCATTCCGGACAAATGCTTATAATCCACAGCATTTGTATATCAAAGCGAATTTCAAGAACCGTTGGCTCAGTTTGTGATCATGTGACATTCAGCATCACATACCACTTGTATTGCAAGACATTGCTTGTTTATCAAGTTAAAATTTATTAGAAATGTTTATTTGTCTTGCAGAACACTTGCATAACAAGTTACTCACAATCCCAGGTTTTACTGTATAATTATGTTAAAGTAAACATCTTGTATGGGTGTATACTCGTTCATAATAATGTTAGAAAATTAACAGAGAAGGTTTAATAAGAACTATGTTATAGATGGGGTGCCTGGGTGGCGCAGTCGGTTGAGCGTCCGACTTCAGCCAGGTCATGATCTCTTGGTCCGCGAGTTCGAGCCCCGCGTCGGGCTCTGGGCTGATGGCTCAGAGCCTGGAGCCTGTTTCCGATTCTGTGTCTCCCTCTCTCTCTGCCCCTCCCCCGTTCATGCTCTGTCTCTTTCTGTCCCAAAAATAAATAAACGTTGAAAAAAAAATTTAAGAACTATGTTATAGAAACACTTTAGTCTTTAATAGATTTTCATGTATACTTTTTATTCTAAAAAACCCCACTCTATATACCCTTATACCCACAAATATTAGGGTGAACCTATGAAATTCAGAAACAAACTTCAAAGAAAATCATTATATGTGATTTCTTCTAGCTAATACTCTATGGTTGTGTCCTTAGGAAAATTTCTCTGTAGAATAACTGTATTTGCTGAGGCAAATACTCAGAGTAGCAGTGTTCTTAAGAGCAAGATAGTGCTACAGAAGATAAAGGCTCGTATTTGAAAATGAAGATGGTATCAATAAAATGTTTAAAAAAGGATATCAAATAATTGAAATTAAACTTCCTAAAAAATTATCTGTTTAAATGCTTGAAACTTTTATATAAAGATGTTGGTTTGCAAATTGGTCCCTATGCATGGAGGGCAAGGAAGACTGAATACATAGGGAGACCACTCCAGATTGATAGGTGGCAGGTATAATAAGCAAGGTAACTTACATACAAGGCTGGTCTTGAACATATACAAGGTGATCTTGGACAGCCACAAGACAAGTAGATCCCCATAACTGCCTACCAGACTCTTAAGTTTATATGAAGGTTTTAAATGGGTTCAGTAACATATTCAATTCAGATGGCCCCAGTATCACCTTACTCTCTCAAAGTTACATCCTTTCAGACTGCTAGCAGGGGAATAGTAGGCAGGATGTTCATTACAAGGACAGGGGAGGGAGCGAGGAGCCTCCCATTGGCCAGGTCTAGCTCAAGGGTCAACCTGTTGTCACATCCTCTTGATGACATCCTCCCTCAAATGAGACTCTAAGTTATGTGCGTAGGGGCTCCTGGATGGCTCAACCAGTTAAGCCTCTGACTCCAGCTCACATCAGTGTCTCTCAGTCTATGAATTCAAGCCCCGCATCTCACTGTGCACTGACAGCTCAGAGCCTGGAGCCTGCTTCAGATTCTGTGTCTCCCTCTCTCTCTTCCCCTCCCCAACTCATGTGCATGCGCACTCTCTCTCTCTCACAAAAATAAACATTAAAAAAATTAAAATAAATGAATAAGTAATATATGTAACCTTTTCATTCTGACGGTTTGTCATGTGTTTGTAAAAATATATTTTTGTTTCCATAGACTTCAAATTCTTTTTAACTATTGATTTATTCCTTAATATCAATTAGCCATGAACTACTGAAATTATATCAAGCAGAATGGAATCACATAGAATCAATAGAACAAAAATATTCAATAGTCAAAGTGAAAGTTATTTCATGTAAATATTTACAACTATCTGGGAAAATTCACAAATTCACCTTATTTCCTTTTCTTATAAAATAATGAGAAGATTTTGAGTATCAGGAGATTGTATTTCAGCTTCACATGTATTTGACATTCAGGTTTTGCTACTTAAAGGGGGCATTTTATGAGCTATGTTTCAGCTATAGGAAAATATAAAAATCCTCAGAAAGAAGCAAGACTATTTACTTTGAAGAGTTACTCCTAGTCAAAGAGTGAAAGATGATAATGTGTGTGTGCACTCTTTCCTCTCCGACAGGTGGACGTTGCCATAAGTCCTGTACTGGCCGATGCTGGGGACCCACAGAAAATCATTGCCAGACCTGTAAGTGTTCAACAGTGAGAAAGAATAGGCTTGAAATGATCAAGCGATTTTAATAATTCATGTTTTTCACACTTCTGGTCCTCAGAAACATGAAAATAAGCTTTTACTTTGTTGTGGTAGATTTGCTTCTTTTCAAGTAAACTGCCTAATTTCATTGCTTGCAAATGAAACATAGTATGTAATTGCTTCTTATATTTCTCTGTGGTTTTCAAGTTAATGCTATTAACAACACTGATGTGGTGATATTAACTATGACTTAAGAATCTGTATATCAGAGAAAGCAAGAAATCCAAATGTGCACCAAATGGTAATTCCATTTCAGGTTATAAGTACTGAAATCTCAGTACTTATAACACCATCCGTTCATTAGGAAAAGGAAAAAGAAAAAGAGCACTGTGTCCCCACTTTGTTCTAGGCACAGAGATATTAACTATATGAATTATGGATGACTGACTATATCTTGCCCTTTGTGTATATTGTTTCTTGTATTAGTCATTAAAGTAAGTATAAGCTATCATCACTGCTAAGACATTTACAAAGTATATTGGATACAAAGACAAGTATCTTTTTTTTCAGCATTCTTAAAGCCATACTTAAATCAGCACTGAACTTTCACTAATCTTAAGGATAAATAGTTTCTTTAAAAAGGAAAAACAAAATGCTCCATATGAATGGTAAAGATATTTCTTCTTTCCTGCTATAATAACAACAGCTGGAATAATATATGAAAAATAGTGTAGTGGCAATTTGAAATGCATTCCTTTCATTAGCATAGAACACAGAGAAAATGTTATTAAAAATATGAATATACAAATATTAGATATTGTAGAAATTTATTATACTATTGGATTAAAGTTTAGATATTTCTAATTTGTCTCAGTTCATATTTGTTAGATTCTCTTTCAATAAGGAAATGGAAAATAATTACATTATTGTGAGCCAACAAAGAAAAAAGATAGAGGAAAAATATTGTCTCACTGGTAAATGATTTCTTTCTTTTTTTTTCCTTGTTTTTTTTTTTTTTTGTTTTCATTCAGGGACATTTTCATGTCTAACATTGATAAAATAGAAAAGAACATAAAATAAAAATTTTTCCCACTTTTGTCCTGCCTCTGTCCTTCAGCCATCCCTAGGCAACAAATGTTATTGGCTACTTTTGTGTATTCTTCCAGAGACAATTTATGCATACAGTAGGACATATGTATATGTTCCTTCCCATTTTTCACTCAAATGTTAGTATGCTTTACATGCTATCATGTACTTTGATTTTTTTTTTTTAATCTAAGCATATGTGAATGAATTTACTTATAGTATTAATGCCTAGAAGTGGTCATTGCAAGGTCAATGACACATATTTATGTAATTTGATAGAGATCACTAACATGGAAATCTTGTTTTCTATAGAGTTTGTAAAAGTTTTCTCTGCCAGGAGCAATGTATGTGAATTCCTGTTTCCCTATTCCCTGGGCAAGGCAGTATATTATCAAACTTTTTGGTCTTTGTCAAGAAGTTATATAAAACATAGTGTAGACTTAAATTAACTTTTTTGATAGAAATAATGTTTATGATAGTTATATTTTGGCAAGAATTTTAAGCAGGATTGTAAAGATCAATGTGTGAAATAAATTTACTACAATTATTTGTAGACAATATTCTAATAGCAAAGTAGTTGAAACCAAGTTACACACAATGCTGAAATAACATTGATGTGGCCTTTTGCACAAAGTTGAGATTTCTAAAATATAAAAGAATCCTTGTAATACTTTGTGATGAAGTGGCAGGTAACCGTGGAAATTGTTAAAGTGTGCAAATGTCCATAGGTCTTCTCACGTCAAAAAACTTCTGAGATGTCAAATTAAAAAATGAATTTTACTCACTCACCAACTTACTTATTTTACAAAGGATCAAGGAAACTTTGCAGCCTGGCTGCTTGCTGTGGCTGGGCCCCTCTGGTGGATCCACCCAACTACCCCTGGTCTTCTGGAGAGGGGCCTCTCAGGCCCACCTAGCTCACCTAGCATTCTTGAGGTCCACCTGTTAAATTGGGGAACGTAGGAGCCTACTTGGGCTATTTTCTGTTGCTAGCTTACATTTAGGAAATGCTAGTTTGGATTCCTTTCTTCTGTTGGGTAGGGAAACATAGATGCCTACTATTCTGTTGTTTGTCCAGTTCAGGGTTCCAAACTAGTTTGCCTTGGCTTCAATGCCTTTCAAATTCTCCTTTGCATTATTGCCTTTTGCATTATTTCCACAACACAGCTACTCTTGGTAAGGAAGAAATAAATTTATGCCATCTTATCTGGACCAGAAGTCCATATAGTACTTTTAATGATACTATTAATGAATGAAATCAAATCAAACTCTTAAGTAATTTTTGCTGCATTTTATATGAATTTTGTAGAATAGAAAAATGTAGTGTAAATTACTTTCTTCTCCTTCTTCTTCTCTTTCTCCTCCTCCTCCTCCTTTTTCTTCTCATTATTATTATTATCATGATCATTATTATCATCTTAATGCTGAATAATCATTCTCTAATTGATAGGGATGCATGAGCCAAAATCTTGGAAATCACTCTGTTAGGACAGAATGAGAAAACAGCACACATGGGTATTCTCCAATTTTGAAAGTTAAATATGCCTTTAATTCATACAGTGCTCAAAATTCTGAAACTTTTAATTAATTTTTAGAGATTTATGTTAGTAAAAAATATACAAAAGTTAGTAAAAAAATCATAACTTTCACCAACATCTGTTATTCTTATAGTAGACAACTTGGGATAATGTCCAAGTAGACATCTGTCTTTCTTTGGGAACTACCCACTTCTGGAGGGGTGAGTCACTGTGGCCATGTTTGTTTTGTGTGATGCTCTAACCCTTAGTCACATGACAGTGTTTCTCAACCAGAGGTGACGTTGCCCCCAGGGGACATTTGATAATGTCTGAATATTTTTGGTTGTTAAAACACTGAGTTAGATTAGGGGGAGCATCTATTAGCATCTAGTAGGTAGAGGCCAGGGATGATACCTGGAGTGCACAAGATAACTTCACTCCACCCCCATCCAAACAAAGAATAAGTATACAACATAAAATTTAAAAAGTACTGAAGGTTAAGAATGAGAAATCTTGTAATAAGAGTAAATATTGACCAATGTTGGGCCAATGAGATTCTTGCCCCAGGGAATTTGGACTTGAGATCCAGAAATTCTGGTTATACTACCTTAGAAATTTGAACTTGAGGAGATATTAAACTTAGTGGAAGTTTCCATTTTGAACCTGTTAAATAAATCTGTCATGCAGAAGCAAACAAGAATCAGAGACAGAAACAATTCTTACCTACTGGTTCTCAGGCCTTCTTGAGATCCAGCCGCATTTCTACCCTTTGGTGCCTAAACAAACACAGTATTCTTCTAGTATACTTAAATGTGGATTTTTACTTGCTGCCAACTGGGGATGGTCTTGGCTAGGACCCCACTAAGACTTGGCTTAGGCAAGACAGTGTTATTTTTTTTAATTTTTTTTAATGTTAATTTATTTTTGAGAGAGAGATGGAGCGTGAGTGGGGTCAGGGCAGAGAGAGAGGGAGACACAGAATCTGAAGCAGTCTCCAGGCTCTGAGCCATCAGCACAGAGCCCAACACAGGGCTTGACCTCACAAACTGTGAGATCATGACCTGAACTGAAGCTGGACGCTCAACAGGCTGAACCACCAAGGTGCCCGTTAGGCAAGACAGTCTTGACTAAGAAAATCAGCAAGTCACAGCTCATGTATCAAATCATCAGCATGAAATCATTTAATTCACCTAATTTTTTAGCATAGAAATTATGCTTACTGTAATGACCTAAAATTGGCTTAATGGTCACTATGCCTACTCCACAGAGCCTATCAAAGTGAAATTCAATAAATATCTACCTATATCTGATATGTGCAAATCCAAATTTTAGAAAAATATCTATTTGCATGGATCTTTATGGCCTATAAAAGATTTCTATTGTATCTTTTTTAAGCTTATTTATTTATTTTGAGAGAGACAGAGACAGCATGAGCAGGGGAGGTGTAGAGAGAGAGGGAGAGAAAGAGAGAAAGGAAAAAAAAATCCCAAGCAGGCTCCACACTGTCAGTGGAGTTTAAACTCACTAAACTGAGATCATTACCTGAGCTGAAACCAAGAGTCAGACCCTTAACTGAGACACCCAGGCACCCCCCAAAAATTTCCCTTTTAAAATTTACTTTCACCATATTACTGTGAGTTAAACAGGATAGTTAACGGTTACCTCATTTTTTAATTGGGGAAATGTATGCTGAGGAAATGATCAGGGAGTTGTTAAATTTATGCAGCTAATACTGGGGATTTCACAACCTGAGTGTCTTGAATTTAAAGATAAAACAGCTTCCTGTATACCACATTGTATAGCACAGCTTAGTGGACAAGGACATTGGATTTGAAATTAGACAAATGATACAAATACCAGTTCTTTCCATTTCTTTGTCATGGGAAAGTGACTTAATCTTTCTAAATCTCAGTTACCATTTCTGTAAAATGGAGATAATTGCACTTACCTCAGAGAGTTGTTGTTTTGGAATCAGATTCAATAGAATAGTGTAGTTGAAATGCTTAAATATCTTTTGGCATATACCAAGGACCTAATAAATAATAGCTAATATTTTAATACGTTAACGGAGATACTGTTAGAACACTTACTCCATCCTAATTCTGAATGAATGCATGTAGAAGTGAAATTCCTGTAGTCCAGTTCTATCCTGTGAAAACTATTTTATCCATTGAAAACTGCTGACACCTGTGGATGAGAAATGAAAAAGCAAAAACCCTGGGAGTGAAGTGGAGGCTTCTTGCCCTTGACATTCGTTCCTGTTCTCTCTCCTTGTTTGAGCTACTTGAAAGGTAAATTACTCATCCATATTTAAAGAGCACACCATCCTGAGGCAAAATGTATTTTGGAACTACTCAAAGGCATACTTATTTTAAGAACTGAATTTTAGAA